TCCTGCTGTTTAAAGAGAAATACTTACAACCTTACAGAAACACATGGTTCTGTCAATTAGATAGCTGTGTCATTCTAGTATATAAGTGTCCTCAGGGAAAGGGGGGGAAACTAATGGAAACACTTTAACAGCTTGGCTAATGCTTAATTTTTGTAGGAAGGGGTGTTTTATGAGAGCAAATAATAATAAACTCAGCACTGGGCTCAGGAAATCTTCCCAAGATTTTCACTTTTACCGATGTCTTCATGTACCTCTAGCTTGTCTCTCTTCCACACCCCGACATCTTCCACACAAAGGATCACTGAAATACTAGTGATCTACAGGACTAAACCTTATAATGTTTTACTCAATAGCCACAGTGTAATAATGTTAAACCTGTAAAAATGTAAACTTGGTAGGCCACTGACCTCTTTTTCTTCCTTTTGATGGGACGCCTTTCTACAATACAATAAGCAGCTAAGTATAATGTAGAAAGGATTAACACACAACTTCAGTAGAAAGTGTGAATCAAAAGCGATATTTGGACTTTAAATCCCCATCCCTGCCCAGTATTGCCTTCATCTAACATTCGAGGGCTATATGGCAAAAACAAAAATAAAAGGGCTCCTTTGAATGGCTTTTTTTTTTCCTTTCAATGTCAGAAACCTTTCGAATTCAGTAAAATGATTAAAACCATAAAGAATTATTCATAATTTACTAGTCAAGGAAAGAAATTTGCTTCACGCCAAAGTTAAAACTGTAAAATACACTGACTGACTCTTTGAGCATACCGAATGGATATGGATTGTTAAACATCACTTGTAACCTGAATAACCTGTTCAAAGTAGTCAGAAAAATTCTTACTTTATTGTCATTTACATGAAACAGACATGTACAGTACATTACAAAGAAAGAACAGGGCCTCCAATACCCTTTTAAAGGATGTGACACTTAAAAAAAAATTAAATTTTTTTTAATTTTAAAAAAAACTTCTTGACGTTTATCTACAGAGTAGAAGAGGAGAGAGGAACTGTGTTGGGACAGGGGAGACTGTCAAAATAACTTTTTAAACAAAGAAGTTAAAGATGATATAACAAAACATTAACTGGACAGTAGGAATGTGGGTTTTTATCATATTATTCTTCAATTAAAAACAAGAAAAAGAAAAGGAATTATAATGAACAACAACAACAAATACTTTTCATTTCCCTGAAGCTTAGTGGGATGGGAAAGAAGAGACCTAGAGGTTGAAAGGGCAATGCAAATTTACATCTGAATGAATAAGGACAAGCATTCCTGATAGCCCCCAGTCCTCTGTGAATTCCAACAGAACTAAAAGGCAGTAATGGCAGTCCGCACTGGCTTAGAGACTGGGGGGCAGGGGAAAGAACGAGGAAGACGAGAAAACGCCTGCGTACACATAGTAAAGGAACAGCATTTTCAGATAATGTTAATACTTACCAGTAGGTACTGTAGCTACTGCAATCCATACACACTGTGTGCTGAGCTTTTTCTTGCTTTTCTGATTTCTTATGGTTGGTTAAGGGTATTTGTGCATCTTCATAATGTTTTTTTGCATGGCCATTCACATACCTTACAAAAATCAAATGAAAATATATTTTAATCTAAATATTGCTTTGGAAGTTAAAGTAGCAGGAGATGATAATAAAATTAGATGGTTATCAAATCAGAATAAGAAAGAATTCCTTCTAATAAAGAGCACTCAATCCTGTAAGAGTATTCATCACTTAGTGATTTATTAAGCTGAGTACTTAAAATATGCTCCTTTTTTGCAATCAACTACAGTCAACTTATTATTGTACACAAGACTAGGACCAGGCAAGGAAAGGTGTTATCTATGCAAATCAGTTTCAATACCATTGAGATTATCACTTATCAACTCCTTTGCTGATACTTTTGCTATATAGCCTTTTTCTTTTTTTAAGTTTTCTTAGGCTGCTAACTCCCAACTCAGCTATTATCAAAGACAAGCTTTGCAAACTAAATGACTCAATCACTGCCCACAGGGCCGTAGGCTCTGCTTAGGTTGCTGCTTAATATAAAACATGAGAGTCAGATATGGAAACAGGATAATCTCCCATCTCTTTCTCATCAATATGGCTTCAGATCTTTCATTTGAATGCCTGAATAATCACTCCACTAATATGGAAATAGGTTTGTTTAAAAGAAATCCAAACAAAACAGAAATTATCTTAAGCTTATATACACTGCTATTTCTTACTACATGGGCAAAGATAATCAAAAGTTGACTACAGTCAGAAAAATTTTCTAACACTTTCCAACGCAGATTTAATAAATCATTTTATCACAAAAAGCAAAATGAAACTGAAATAAGGGTTCATCTATACCTTCACCTAAATACTGTACAATGCCATAACTGACCACTACTTGAAGACCCTCATAAAACAAAAACTTCCCAGTTCCTAGAAAGCTGCCAATTTATAGAAGGTAAGGCCTAACTGTAAACTCAGAACAGTCAAAACAAATGTCGGTTAAATAGTTCCAAAGTAAACCTGCTCAGAGAGTTAAGGTGACATTTTTGTCATGATGTGACTTAACTGTACAAGGAGCAACACTTACCTTGGGGAAAGTAGGATAGTTTGTGGTAAGTAAGGAGGATCAACTCCAAGCCTGGCCTCTCTACCCCAGGAAACCTGGAAGCATCAGAGGCACTACTAACCTCAACTCAGAGTGTGATCACGTTTTCCCCCCTTTTTTTCACTGTAATAAACATAACCAAGACTTGTGTGTAGGGTCTTCTGTTCACAAAAGTGGACTAAACTGAATTTTTAATTCCATTGTATATGGAATTGGCTGAGTTAAAATAAAAATAATGATTAAGAGTATAAACTCAGGGCTTCCCTGGTGGCACAGTGGTTGAGAGTCCGCCTGCCAATGCAGGGGACACGGGTTCGTGCCCGGTCCGGGAAGATCCCACATGCTGTGGAGCGGCTGGGCCCGTGAGCCATGGCTGCTGAGGCTGTGCATCCGGAGCCTGTGCTCCGCAACGGGAGAGGCCACAACAGTGAGAGGCCCGCGTACCGCCAAAAGAAAAAGGTATAAACTCAAAAATTAGACAGCCTGGGTTTTACCAGGCGTTATCACATGCTGGCCTGGTGAGCTTGGGTGAGTTACTTAACCTCTCTATTTCTGTTTTCTCATCGATAAAACAGAGATAATAGTACTTATATCTCATGGGTTGTTAGGTGATTAAATAATCCATGGCTCAGAATGCATGAATGAATGAATAGTACCTATAGTTCCTTTAGCCACCATACTGTAGTCTCCAAATGTACTAGGTATTTCCATGGTTACTGTAATAAATGTCAGTGATAAAGTAAGAAGTGTATTACTGCTAACATTAAGATTAGCAATGTTTTGGCTAATATTCAAATACATGTCAGAAGTTAACAGTCATGTATAAACTACCACATAAAAATAAATATTTCCCTCACCTAGTTTTAGATTTTAACCAATTTGGTCTAAAAAGGAAAAGTGTCAATATACATGTCACAGATTTTTTAACAACAATCACAAAAAATTGGAAAAATAACTTAAAAGGGATGGTGTCATGAAGACCAATACAATATATAACTCAAATATACTACTGATAAAGTACCATTCCTAGTTTGAAAGAATATTCAGTTTAAGACTCCCCTAAAGACAAGTGGTCTAAATTACTACAAAAATCGTCATTCTTGGCAATCAACACCCAGGATTACATGGCAAAAGAAAATTAGCCAATCAGCTATGTAAAATGAAGATCCAAATGCAGGTTACTCTCATTATCTGTGTAACCTACTTAATTATATTTCTCTGAAACCATGTCAGATTTCCGAATTTAAGATTGCTTACAATTGGAAACATCCTACCTACAGAGCCTAGAAAATTTTCAATTTATTTTTCCAATACCTACTTAGAGAACTGTTTGTTGCTTGCTGTTAAGAACACTAATGTCTCCACTTTCTGAGAGTATGTCAGGTCTTTTTGTTGACATATGACCTTCCAGATTTAGGCTGTAAAGCACTATGAGACAACTGGAGGATAGAACTATATAAATTTTATTGCATTATAATTCTCACCTCTCAAAATCTAGGAGAGGAATCTGTTTCTTCAAGTGCAGAATTTAAGTGCTTCTACTTTTCTTCTTTTTTTAAAAAAATGTTATCTGTACAAAGTATTTTCAGGTTCCCCAAATCCTAGAGATTTCAAAACCACAATAACCACAATTAAGATATGCAGTTAACATTTTCCAAAAGTACTCTTAAGTGTACATGGAAAAATAGACTCAATTCCAGGACTGAAAATGTGAAAAATCAAAAGTTAACTGAACAAAGATGCTCTCTTCATGCAATGAGGGTTTACGAATAACGATGGGGAAACTGCCCAAATAAATACAATATAGATTTCAGCCTGTGTGACTCAGTATGATTTCCCACCTCCTTGCTGCTAAGCTACTAACTTCTGAAGTAAATTCAAAGCAGATTTTCTAAGCTAAAAGAGCCATAGAAATAAATGTGCTACTACCAGACACACAAAGTTTGATATTTATTTGAGTTTGTGCTAGAAGAAAGAGTGACTAAAGTATTTAAGTAACATCATTTTGAAGCCAAGAACTGGGAGGAAATGCTCAGGCTTGAACTGGGTTTGGGAGTGTTAAGTTCCTAGAATGCAAAAATGTCTTAACGGAACAATGATATATTTGGTACATCTTAGCATAAATAATGAACTCCACAGTGAGACCATTTTTGAGGGAATTCCTTTATCTGTTTTGTTTTCAGAAGAATGATGTGATATCTGGGATTTGATTCAAAAGCCAGTAAAGGTAGGGAAGGGTAGGTAACAGGTGAAACAAAATTGGCCACATGTCAATCAAGTATTACTAGTAGATTGTCTTGATCATCAAATTAATTCTTCTGAGTATCAATATAAAAGGGGTTTTCCCCCCTAGATTTTCCTCAGTTCCATCACTGAACAAAGGGATTCTATTAGGAGAGGGAAGAAGCCCTACAGAGAATTACATACACGCTATAATTAAACAACGGTGCTAAATAAATCCAAGTCAATAAAACTTTGACATAAAGCTTAAAGGTAAACTGAAAAAAGCAAGTTGGGTAGTGAAGTAATAAGCATGTCACCTACCTTCCACAGTGGACACTTGAACAAGTCAAACAGACCCAGGGGCTTTTGTTGGACCGGCACACTAATAAAAAGAAAAATACACAATATGCCAATTGTATCACGTTATTTCCCAGCTTCTCCCCTAATCTGTAATACCACATCCCATGATTAAGTTATAAATTCCATGGCTGCTTAGGTGTCCTGAAATCACAAATCCTTGCTTTGTGAGTGCGTTTACACAAAACGGCTGCCTAATTAACATTATACTGAAAGAATCTAAACGCATGTCCACAACAACTGCTCATATTAATTGCGGACTCAACGCAAATAGTTTAACCACAGGTTAAACACTTTTCTCCTTTATTACTTATTCCTTTTTTTCTTTTCAACAGTCTCTGACAAGTTAAGGACAGTCTATTTTCTCATCAAAAGCATTTTTAAGGGAATTCCCTGGCAGTCCAGTGGTTAGGACTCCACATCCCCAATGCAGGGGGCACGGGTTCCATCCCTGGTTGGGGAACGAGGATCCCGCACGCCGCATGGCGCAGCCAAAAAATAAATTAAAAGACAAAACATTAAAAAAAAAAAAAAGATTTTATAAAAACCATTTTTAAGTCTAATTCTTAAATCATATGTCTTTACCATACAGATCATATACTACTATAAATGACAACTCTTTTAGTTTATTTAGTGAGAGGCATAACCTAAGGATACAATTCGGAAGACTAAGCTCAGTTCTTCCCAAATTAATGTCTCAAATGCATTAAATATAATTCTAAATATGATAACTGCATGTAATTCTTGCTGAGGGTATAGTCAGGACATTAATTACTTTAGTTTGAGTATTATAGGGACGCGGCAGGCCAAAAGGGGTATGAAAACTTTTAAAATACTGATTACAATTTTGCTTGCTGTTTACTTATTCAATTTTAACCCCAATAAACATGACAATGATTTTTAAAGGGAAGGGATATAAAAATCACCTGGAACAAGCTTTTTCAAAACACATATGTTCTACTCAGGCAGAGACATCTACATTGGGGTGGGTACAGAGGACAAAAGAACATGTCTGTTTTGAGAAAAGCAACTTCCCAGGTGACTCCCTAATACAACCACTTGAGAACCACTAGTCAGCCTCCTAGGGGCCATGAGAGGGGCACCGCAGCACATCCACACACTCAGGATTATAATAAGTCCACTGCCTGGCACACAGTATATGCTCAATGAACAGTTGTTGAAACAAAGTTTAAATTTCTTAGTTTAAGATACCAAGCTCTTCCAAGATCTGATCCCTACTATATTATGTTGGTCCTGTCTAATCATACATCACAATCGGCCTTTCTCATTGTTAAGAAAAATTAGCCAAAACTGGACATAAAGTGAATCAAGAACTATTAAGCCCTTTCAATGTATAATAAAACCCATTATACCAAGAATATCCCAAAGATATTTAATTATAATACCATTGTTTGACCTGCTGTTTACTATTGATTAGGACCCAAATTCTATGAAGTTACAGGTGAACTTGTAGATTTTTATTTGGTAGAGAAAATAACTGTCTGGCAGACTCCAAGGGCTATGGTTTTACTACCCTGCAGGACATTAGTGGGTTTTATATCTAGCCTAGCAATTTACTTCAACATGCATTCTTCAGTGTCTGCATTCACTCAATTCCTCAAATGCTCTTGGAATCAGCTTTACCATCCTGCTGGTTCCCTTATTAATGAGTTAAATAAATCTTTCACATACATTCATTCTACATTTGGGAGGGGAGGAGAAGGCAAGGAAGAATAGGAGAGTACAGTGATATACTTGCCCAAGGGCCTCTGCCTTTCTGCCCAGCACAGGGCTCTAACTATTTTTGAATGAGAAAACTTTCGGTGGTAAAAATCCCCTTCCAGTTAGCCAAGGGCCTTACCTTTCCTTAGTGCATTACATTAACTGCTAGGGCCACCCTGAAGGCATTTTAGTTTTTTACTCAGTCGGGTTCAATTTCGTTATATGTGCATGTAAGTCACGTGACAAAGGCTAATAAGACGCCAAACTGCTAACAGCAATTATTTTAGGCAAGTACATGAGAAGACTATTGTACGGGGAGGCTGTTGACTTTTTATTTGTACACCCCTGTGGGATTTGATTTGTATCAACAAAAACATGACATTTTTATAGTTTGAAAAGGAAGTCCTATAAAGTATATTTTTAAAGGGAAAAATAAATTAGAACACAGTTTACTTGAAACAGATATTCCTGGTCTGCGATATAACTTGAAGGATTAAAAAAACTACAAATATTATATAGTTTTATTCCTCCAGCAAACCTTTGTCTTTCAGTAAATACTAAGAAACATTGTACTCAATCTGGAAGGAGTTTAATATTATCCTGAAATAAGTAATTATGTTATAATAGTAAGTTTAGGCCCAAGTTTTTAGTCATTTACAGGTTTTTGTTTTTTGTATAATTATGGGAAGATTTCTCCCCCCTCCTTTGAATGAGGGGAAAAAAAAAAAAATCTAGAACAAAATCACTGTTACTTTGGTGTGTTTCCTACCAAATGTTCATTTTCCCCCTGATGGCTGTAAAGTGTGTGTATGGACAAAAAGTACATACAATTTTGTGATCTAATTTTTCCACTATCAGTATATTAAATGCATGTCTTCATGTTACTGAATTAGAACAGTGTACTCTAAATCTAGTCTTATAAAATCTCAATTACTTCATAAAGCTTTATCAGTTTTTTAATTTCAAATTTTCAAAAAGATACCCTAAGCCTGAGGGGAAGAAATGGGGAATAACTGCCTAATAGGTATAGGGTTTATTTTGGGGTGATGAAATGTCTTGGAACAAGATAGAGGTGGTAGTTGTAGATGTACTAAATGCACTGAATTGAATTATTCACTTTAAAATGGTTAATTTTGGGAATTCCCTGGCAGTCCAGTGGTTGGGACTCGGTGCTTTCACTGCCAAGAGCCCATGTTCGATCCCTGGTTGGGGAACTAAGATCCCACAAGTCGCATGGCATGTACATAAATAAATAAATAAGTAAATAATATTATGTTATGTGAATTATACCTTGATTAAATAAATAGGTGCTTAAGAAAGGGATGAGGAGAAAGAATAAAAGGAAATAAAATAGTATTGACTTTCAAAAACATCGGAAAGAAGTGACTGTGCCTTTTACTAAATCTCAAAAAAGACCTCACTTTCTAAGTTAAGAAATCAAATTTCTTTTATCATGAATATTTACAATAAGAAAGTTAAGGCTTAATGTGTGATAAGACAACTAGTTGGTCTTGGCTATTTAAATGACAGTGCTCTCTGAGGGCTTAATAGTTTCACACCAGAAGAACATCTGAAGGCTAGGAAACTACAGAGAAAAGGGTATTATGGGGCATTCTGAAGCCATTTATTACACCGCTCTGGGGAATATTCACTCTGTGTATATATACCTTATCCAAATTATAAACCTTTCAAGTACCCAAGACAATTAGAAAATAGAAGGAAAAATACTGGCTTTAAACTAAACTCTCAATTATTGCTACAAAGAGAACAGGTCATAGCATGAGTCAAAGAATACCTGCAATAATCTTAAATTCATTTATTTTAATCACCTTAAGGGGACATAGTTTATTATAAAAGGTAGTCTCAATTTATAGACAGATGGGTTTCAAGTTTATCTGTAGGATGAACACATTTCCCATGGAAACTGCATTAGAGGTTTGCAGGCTATTTTATAAAATTCTACAAGAACCATAACAAAACTGAAATACTATATTGTGCGTGTGCGTGTGTGCGTGTGTGTGTGTGTGTGTATAAAATAAAACCATACACAGTCAATACAAATGTTTTTAAGCTATAAATATACTATCTATTCAGCAGAACATAAAAATATTAAACTGAAGGGTTTTTATTTTTTAAATCTTAAATGCCGGTACTTGCGAGAAAGAGGTTCATAAGGCTGGAAACTTGTAGGAGTTCAAAAAGATAAGTCTGAAAACTTATAAGGGCTCTTTTTATTATGCCTAATTACACTTCAAGGTGACGTCATGGCAGGGAAGCCATGCAGTATATTTCTCACACTGTTACACGTGGCCGCAGCAGGGTCACTGGATGTCATAAACAGAAGTCTGGTCCTCTTTCACTCAGATCATGAAATTTCATCAAAGTTACTCTCCTCCAGCAATCTGTCCCATGCGCTTAGATTCTTCCAACCCTGAGCTCGGGTTTCCTCTCTCAGCTCCTGGCATCTCAGCCTGGGGGGCTGGTACTACCCAGCTCCCTTCACTCTCCTCCTGCTGCTATAGCCTCAGAACTCTCCTCTGGCCCTGTCCTTACCCTCAGCCACGAGCCCTGCAAGTTGGCAGCAGCACCCCTTTGCGGGGAGTGGAGAATGTCGATCCTCTCCTAAGCTAGGGCCGTTTCCCACAAGGTAGAAGCTCTGACACAGGTTGGGCAGGGGAGACAGGTGAAGTAGGCCCAGCCTATAAAACATGCCCGCATTCATGGCTTCTTCCTAAAGCTCCCAAAAGCCTTAACCCTCCTGGAAACGAGGAAGGGACAACTGATGGAGCACAAAGGCAGAGGGAAGGCATCCAAGTGATCTACAAACCAAAGTGGTTTTTTACTCCCTGCTACTCCTATGCAGGGAAGAACCGTCTGCTCCTTTACCAAGAGACAAGGGCAGAAAACTAGGGAGTTCTAGGGGACTTCCCTGGTGGCGCAGTGGTTAACAATCCGCCTGCCAATGCAGGGAACACAGGTTCAAGCACTGGTCCGGGAAGATCCCACATGCTGCGGAGCAACTAAGCCCGTGAGCCACAACTATTGAGCCTGCACGCTGTGACTACTGAAGCCCGCGCGCCTAGAGCCCATGTTCCGCAACACGAGAAGCCACCGCAGTGAGAAGCCCGCGCACCGCAACTAAGAGTAGCCCCCACTCGCCACAACTAGAGAAAGCCCGCGTGCAGCAACAGAGACCCAGTGCAGCCAAAAATAAATAAATAAAATAAATTAAAAAAAAAAAAAAGAAAACTAGGGAGTTCTGGGCTAAAGGGGCCTATTTACACACAAATATCTAGGTTGTGT